AATTATATAGTTTTAAAACATTATATATATATATATATTAAAATTTTAAAATTAATAAATTTTTAATGAGAAAGACTAAAATTGCACAACTATGATATTTGAGAGATTAAAATTGTTCAATTAAAAATTGTGAGACTAAAATTACACAACTATAATCTTTTAAGGACTGAAATTACTCAATTAAAACCTTAAAGATTAAAATTGCATAATTATAGTATCAAAAACACAATTAAGTAAAAAATATTTTATTCACAGTTTTGGAACGGGTCGTTCTTAAAGCAGAACGGGCCTTTCTGGTTTCAGAACGTCCCATTCTGCTTCATTGTTGGTGTTTTAATTTTGCAACCAGAACGGCCCGTTCCGGTTTCAGAATAGGCCGTTCCGGGTCCAGGTGTTTTCAAAAAAATTCTCATCCACGTAGATGCCACGTATGCATCTACGTGGCATCCACGTGGCCAAAAATTAACTCCGTTTAAATAATTTGGACGAAAGTCCCACATTAAAACTAATTAATTAATTTGGGACTAAATTAAAACCAAATAATTAGTTTGGGATCAAATTGAAGCCAAAAATTAATGAGGGACTAAATTAAAACAAAAAAAGATTATAAGGGACCAAAATAAATTTTTAGCCAAAAAATTATTAAATCACAATGTAAATTAAGGTAACAAAATATTATTTAATGTCATAAATTAAAATCAGAATATGGTTACTGTACTAAAAGAAAATCAGAATATGGTTAAAATATACTCCCAATAGTTGTGGGAAATTGGAAGTTGACACATAGAAAAGCTAACATCTATGGTATTGTCAATCATCAAATCTTGACCCCATGACTAGATATATGTTTTCCTTGTATTGTCCAATCGAGGCCACAAAATAAAAAATTGTGTACAAAATAATTAAAAGTTTTAATTAACCATAATAAGGTACTTGACTACGGTCCAAATTGAAGTTTGTTAAGAAATATTTATTTAATCCTCTATCCACCAATTCATCGCTTTGTGCGTGCAGAGCATGTCAGCGTGGTCCTAAGATGAACAGTGTGAACTAATGT